GGGAGGAAGGGTGGCGGGGAGGAGGGAGCGAATCGGCCGGCGGGAAGTGGGACTGACCCAGGCACATGCAGATCCAGGCACACAAGTGAGTCCGGCCCCAGGGATTCCATTTTGGCCCCACCCCCCCATACCCTCTCTCGAGTAGTTGTGAACTGCCTGGCTGGTAGACACACTCACGCCACGTGAGCACATCTACCAGCCAGGCAGTTAGCAGCTACGGACTGATACACCTAATAATAATAAAACTTACCTAATTAGAAAATACCAGACATTTTATATGTCTGGTATTTTCTCAATTTGTTTCCCGGACGGAACCCTCAAATACCAGACTGCCTGGTACAAAACCGGACACCTGGCAACCCTACCCCCCAGCCAGATACCCTACCGCCAATCTGCTCCTGCTCCCGCCTCCTGGCGTGCCCATGCAGCACCAGGTCCCCCAAGCCCTGGCCCAGGCTGAGCGGAAGATGCAGCTGGGTGAAACACTGAAAATTTATTCATTTTTAATTCTTTTTTTATATGCGTTTATATTTTTGGGCTGCAAAAAACAGCACTGAAAAAAAACAGGTTCCAACTAAAGTAAAAAGTTTGGGAAACACTGGTCTAGCCAGCTTTCTATACATTTTACAGTCCATTTATCCAATCCATATTCCTTAACTTGCTGGCAAGAATATTGTGGGTGACCGTATCAAAAGCTTTGCTAAAGGTGGCACTGGGGGCTTTGGGAGGACCAGAAACAATTTATTTGGATATTCATCATTTGCGTAATGAATATGCAAATATGCAAATGAATGTTACCAGTCCTCCAAAAGCTCGTGAATGGATTTACTGGTCCCCGTGTCAAAAAGTTTGGGAACCCGTGAGATAAAGCATTAGGATAAATACAATAGAGGGATATTCCTGGCAATGGTGATCTAATGGGTCTCTTCTGTGTCTGCTTTCAGTGATGATGGGGAATGCTCTGGGAACAGCCCTTTCAGAACTCTAGAAAGAATTGACCAGTGCAAATGACGGTGTTAAAAGACTGATAGGGAAGAAATGGCTGAGCAGGAGTTCCCATGCCACATTATCTGAGGCCAGGTCTACACTAGGGGATGAGTTCGAATTAAGATACGCAATTCCCGCCACATTAAGTGTGTAGTTGGAGTTGCCGTTTCTTAATTCGAACTTTGTCACAGTCCCCGCAGTGGGAGACAGGAAACACTCCTGTCAACTTCCCTTACTCCTCTCAAGGAGCAGGAGTACCGGCTTCGACGGGGGTGCCCTCAGTTTTCCATTTAGCGGGTCCTTACTAGACCTGCTAAATTGAATGCCAGAAGACCGACCTCCAGAGTGTCGATCTGCCAATAAATGTAGCTGTGGTCTGCGTGTGGACATAGGGGAAGATGGGAGAAGTGGTGAGCAAGGCGTGGGATAAAGGGCTGAGGACACAGGCTACCCTTATACCTAGGCTGCTTGCCATCCATATGCAGTGCGGAGAGTGATGCCTCAGGTAACTGCCAATTCATATTCATAGGTTCCATTTGCAGGATGTATGTTCTGCACCCATTGTTGAAGCAGACAGAATTGACATGCAAAAGAGTCTGCAGCAACTTCCCACCCTAGAGAGCATTCCTGTGTGTATGTTTACCGCGGAACAGGTCAAAGGGCTTCTTGGTTAGTGATGTGTCTTCTGGTTTGTAGTGGCCATTACAACATTGCAGGGGTCACTTTGATTTGTTTCTTCAGCTTCACCCTCCAGCCAGATTTAACCCTCAGCAGTTACAGGAGCTTGTTTTTCACCCTCTTCAACAGGACTGAAACCAACAAAACGTCACTTCATGTAATCCTTACTGGTCGCCACACTCCGTCAAACCACTTGGCTTATCAAGTCTGATATCCTGCCTCAGCTGTGGCCCTATGCCTAAGGCTTTTAAGGAAGCAAATACAGGCTGAACCTCAATGGTCCAGGACTCTGTGGTTTGGTGCTGGATCACAGATGTTGCTGGACCAGAGAGCCCCGGGGGAGAGGAGCCGGGAGCTTGGTGCCAGGACTGGCAACAAGCAAGCCCAGGGGCAGAGAACCAGCCAGCAGCATGGTAGCTGGGGCCAGACTTGGCAGCGGAGCCCCATTGGGGGAGTGGAGCCCGCCTGGCAGCTGGGGTCAGGGCTGGACTGGCAGTGCACCCCAGTCCAGCCAAGGATGTGGAGCCAGGCTGCCAAGGCCAGTGGTCTGGGGTAGAGCTGTGAATGACTAGTCAACTATTTGATAAGCAAATGCTTATCGGACACTCGACACACTAGTTGCTCTCCTCACCTTGCTGCCTCTATCACAGTGGTTCCCAAACTTTTTGGCATCTTGCCCCCTTTTTGATTTTTGAGAAACCCTCACGCCCCCACCCACAATAGCAGCAAAACTTGTTGAGCAAAAGGAAAAACAAAACAAAACTGGAACTGACCGGGTCTGAAAAACAAAAATAGCAGCAAAACTTAGAGGGAGAGGATTGACCTGGGGCGGGGTCAGGAGAGTTGGGTCACCTCGCACCCCCCGTGGAATTTCTTCATGCTCCCCTCCCCCCCTCCAGTTTGGGAACCCATGCTCTATCAGAAAGAAGCAGCAAGGCTGGGCAGAGGACAGGGTGGTTCAAAGCAGCAGTAACACGTGGAGCTTGGGGCCCGATCCTGGGCTCCAAACAGCCCTGCCGCTTTGAAACACCACATGCAGCCTGAAGCCAGCTGGGGACTCCCCAGCTTGCTGCCTCTTTCTGATAGAGGCAGCAAAAGGGGGGGCGGGAAGCAACTAGTTGACTAGTATGCAAATTGCATCAAGTATCCCTAGTTTGGGGGCTGGAAGCCAACAGCCAGGCTGCTGGCAGGATGGGAGCTAGATGGACTGGCAGAGAGCCAGTTGGAGGCTCTATTGGGGGCATAGAGCCTGGAGAGGAGCCCAGCTGGGTCTGCTGATGGACTGTGGGAGAGCCCAGAGTCTATCAAAAGAGGGGCTAGAATTGACCTCACCTGGTCCAGCAAAATCCTTCATTCGGTACCAGTTAGGCCCCGAGGATGCTGGACCAGATATGTCCAACGTGTATCCCCTCTTCTCATCTCTTCTTCCCTTCCTCAGAGTAATGCTCCTGGGCAGTTATGTAAAGCTGCACTTTGTGAGGTTGAGTGTGTGAGATTTACATAGGTAAGACAACCCGCCCAGTGTTACCAACTCTTGCATATTTGGTAATTTTTCTTAAAGCCAGGTCCTGGTGTCATTATCTGAGAATCATTAATAACAAAACAAAGTGTAAATGTTTAGCAGAGGAAAGTTTGAAAATGAGGCAACACCCAAAAGCTCAAATACAAAGGCAAATAAAAAGAACCCCACATTAATTACTTTAAAATTAATTTTAAGTCAGTGTTGTGATTTTGGTGATGGATGGCTGATGATATTTTTTTTTTGAATGCTTGAGATGGAGCCTCAATTCAAGTCATTGGAAATTGAGGGCAGTCGCATCTTGAGGAGCTGGGTTCTTAGAGTTTGCGGAGTAAGTCAGAATGCTGACATGATTGCTTTGTCATCAGTGCGACTTTTTTCCCTGGCCTGCAGGATTGATGTATCCAATTCCAGTGGCCCTCAGGTGCACAGATGCTACAGGAACTGGAATCCACCATTACTAGGCAACCTTCCTGATGATTTCCTTCGCATCCTACCCCAGCAGCTGGACAGTGTGCAGGTGGGAGGAGACTACGTTCAACTGCATAGCACCTAGCCTCCTTAAGGGCTACAATTTCAAATCCTAGCAAGGCTGGTTCTGTCCTTTCTCCTTCTGGATCTGCTGAGCAGTACATAGATTATCATGAAGGGGCATTTCCAAGGAAAATCTAGTGATGCTGTGAGATAAAATTCCCCAAATCCCCAAATTTAAAATGTGCCAAAATCAAGTTCTTACAAATCTGTAGAAATATCACAGTGGAAATTACAATTCAGTTGTCAGCCTTCTTCTATAGGGGTTCTAACCCTAACTGTACAGCAGCTGGGGCGTTTTAAGTGGAGACAAGCCCTCATGCTTCCAAGATGCATGTAGGAATGAAAAAACTCCCATTTAAATGGTTAACCAGTTAAACGTTAAGTTTAACCGGTTAACTGATTAAACAGGGCAGGTGGTGGGGAGCGGCCTCTGTGCCACAAGCAGGGGGCTGCTCCTGCCTGGGTGCTTCGGACTCTGTTCTGGACTGAGAGTCATCAGCCGGGCGCGGGGCCAGAAGCGGCAGCCAGGGGGTGGAGGGGAGGAGAGGGCTGCCAACTCCTAACCCTCTGCCACTGTTGCGGGGGCTGTTACCCAGTATGCATCCCACTAAGGGTGATGCTGGCCAGTTAACCAGTTTCCCATTTCCGAGATGCATCATGGCAGTTTTCATAGGAGAAGGCGTTTGGGTGTCCTTGGCCAAAATTTCCCTTGTCCCCTATTTTATACAGTGTGTTGCAGATTGGCTGATTGCTGCCTTCCCACCCCAGAGTTAAGGTTCACTTCAATGATGCCAAATACATTAGGATTTATGAACTGCCTTTAGACTTCAGCATCAATACTTCCTTACCATGCTTGTAAAACTCTGTCACTAAGCATCTCGCAGTGTATCCATTTATGCATCTTGCCAGAGCTGCAATAGGGAGCTATCTCCTGCCAGACTCTCAGACCTAAATGCAAAGCTTATTTCTTCCACTTAGCTTTCCCACAGTATTTTCTCTGCCCACCCAACTCACATGTATATAAACAAACCCATACATCAAGCTGTCTCTTCTATAGGCTAGGAGAGGCGAGACAGAAAATGCAGTGAAGGGGTCTAAATTATAAGTACCCAGCTAGACAGCTAGATTCTTCCCTTCCCTTTTGGCTCCAAAGGCACATCTGTCACAGTTTAATAAATCATTGCCCTCGAGATGCATCTTCTCAGGCTATATTACCTTTCTGGGAATAGAAAGCTGACAGTTCACTGGGCTCTGGGGAAAGAGAGGTCCTGGTGCCCGTTTTTCCCCCTCAGGAACTATAGGCTATTGCTTTTTATGGTACTCTGAGACCAGCCACAAATCAGGTAAATATGGTAGGCAAGAAGAGATTGCCCCTGGATAATGTTTCTTGTCCTTACCCCTTTGCAGGCACATATGTGTATGAGCAGGGAAATGAGATATAGAGGATGTTAAGACTTAATCTCTCAGTGGAATTTGTCAGAGGGTGAATTGCATTTTCAGGCATTCGGTGGGGAAAATAAAAGCTGTGCCACTTAGGCAAAGCCTCTCGCTGAGGAAACCCTTTCTCATGTCAAAGCCAGGTTCAGCACTGGTTTGATACTGATTTAGCCATCAGAGGAATTCTGCTGTTAAATACTTGTATTTAAAATGAGGCTCTAGCTATAAAAGTGATTTTATGGGGTTCCATGTTTTCTGTGACTTTCTGATTTCCAGGTTAGATGTCCTCAGATTCTAAGTTAAAAAGAAAAACGACAAACTTTTTCTCCCCAGTAGCTAGGCTTTTTGACTCAGCCTGAGATCTGAGAGTTAAACAGGGTATTAACTTTTTCACACATCACTAAAGATAAGGCCAGGCCAGATTATCCCCTCATCGACTCCCATGGCGTGGCGTAACCTAATTGCCTTCAGTAAGTTTGCACACGTGGAATTGATTGGAACTTAGTAAACACTTCTTTTGATGATGCTTAAGGAGGAAGAGACTCTAGCTCACTATCCCACAGGTGAGTTGGTTCTGCTGGGCTGGCTGGAAGATAGAGCCAAGGAAAAACATATATACCATATAGTCAGTATATGGAGTATAGCTTGCTATTTCCAAACTGTGCTGATTCTTTTGATAGATAGGGACCTTTAATCTTCAGTTCTGATATTCCCATTCCTGCCACAAGAGCTAAAATCTTGATTCAGCAAAGCATTTCTGCTTGTGTCATTAAAGCCTTTGGGACTTAAACACATGCTCAAGTGCTTTGTTGAATTAGGGCTTACAGTCTCACACAGTACTTTTTCACTGTTACGAGTTGCTCATCTCATTCATTGACTCTTCCTTTGTGTCTCACTCTTGTCTAGAGTTCACAAAATTGCAATCAGACTGTGCCGGGCGAGGGCAGCCAGAGATCCCAGGGCTTGTTGGACCAAGAGAGGAAGTGGAAACAGTACCTGGAAGATGAGCGAATTGCGCTTTTCTTACAGAATGAAGAGTTCATGAAGGAGCTCCAGAGGAACCGGGATTTTCTCATTGCCCTTGAGAGAGGTGATAAATCATTGCAGAGACTCCGATATATGCTTTTCATGTGCTTGAATGCCTCCCATGCTGCAACTTCCAGCCCTCAGGCCTTGTTCTCCATTGCTGTACATCTTGTGTTGTCATTTACACCAGTGCAAAGCGAGTGCAAAATGCTGCTGCACCACAATGACCTTGTTTTTCACCCACGTTGCACTTAATGCTACATTAGTGAAATAACCTGAGGGTGCAGGGCTATGGAGACTAAGATCCATTGGGAGCTGATAGCAGGGGTGCTTTCTATCCTTGCTAGCTTGGCTTGGTAATTTTGCTCAGGGGTCTCCTCACTCTGCAAAGTCCTTCCATTTTCCCCACCAGACCTATAGAAGCATTGGGTGAAATCCTGGCATCATCCTCTGTTCCCTCCTCTTCTGAAAGACTTAGACAAAACATCCCATCAAATTGGATCTGTCTCCAGAGTTTGGGCTTTATCATTACATCCTCACGCCCCCAATATTGCTGTTAACCCTCTCTGCCTTCCAAAAGGACAGTTCTAGAGCCGGTATGATCATCTCTGTCTTTTAGCATTGTAACCTCTGTCACTGTAAAACACTGCTGAGTTTCCCAGAGTATCTCACCACCTTCTGTCTAGCGTCTCTTTCTAGCTGTTCTCAGCAGCTTCTCTGATGACACTCCAGGGAGAAGTTCAGTGGTTTTGGTGGCTTTCTCATGAATGATGAGCCAGCCCCTTACCATTTCCTCTCTGCTTTATCACTTGAATTCTGAATATACAGGCTAATATATTCCCATCTGGTTTATCTCACCCGTCATGGTATTTGTCACTCACGTGTCTCACTCTTGGTTTGGCTTTCGCTCATCCTAAAACCTTAATTAAAATGCTTATCCTCCTGTCCATCACAGCCAGAAATCAGCTGCTCGCTTACGATTTTCATTTTTTCTCCTTTCTTGTTGCGTGGCAAGACAAGCATTTTCCAGTTTGCTTCTCTAATCTCCTGTCATTAAACCATGGGTAGTGTGTGTAGCTTAGGCGAATGAATAGAAGTCACAAAATACAGCTCACAGCGTAGCACCTTGACAGTAGTTAAGGGCCATGTGATACATTTCATTGACTGTGCATCTTAGACTGCCTCGCCTACAGCTTCCCCCTTGAATCCATCTCCCCCAGGCCTCCTCCAGTGATCTGTACCTCTGAGAAGCTCTGGAAAGACAGCATTCTTTGTTTTTCAAAGGCACTTCATCAGAGAAACGTTTCTATCTGTCCAGGAGTATCTGGGATCGCCCCTCCATGTTACACTAGCCTCATAGATGGCTACTAGATGGCTACTGTTACTTCTTCTGAAAGGTTTTTGAATCCATCTCCCCCAGGCCTCCTCCAGTGATCTGTACCTCTGAGAAGCTCTGGAAAGACAGCATTCTTTGTTTTTCAAAGGCACTTCATCAGAGAAACGTTTCTATCTGTCCAGGAGTATCTGGGATCGCCCCTCCATGTTACACTAGCCTCATAGATGGCTACTAGATGGCTACTGTTACTTCTTCTGAAAGGTTT